ACCCCCACAAATGTAATCAGCTTATGGTAGGCCTTGTTAAACATATGACGACGTAACAAGCTTCTTCCTAGCCTCTCAATTCATCGAACAAGTCAAAAAACAAAAGTGCAGAATCTATAATGCAACTTCCAAGCCTTATATTAATGAACTAGAGGTCTATCATTGACCCTCTTTCCGTAACATCAAGGAGACTCTTTGGTGAATTCTCACTCCATGCCAGCGGCATACACTCATTTCTACCCACTATGTCCAACACAGATTAAGGTCCTAAACTATAAAGAAGCATTAAGTTTATGTTCCTAACTGCCCAATAGGGAAAGTATGCAAAACCGATGTCATGGCAAAAAACGCCTAGTAGGGAAGAACACAGAAGCCCCTTGTTGGAATTCTCTCTCCTTTTCTCTGCCTGCTGCCTTATCCTACCTTTTATTATCGAAAAACTCTTCGTTTCACAACTTTAGCTGGGGTGAAATTGAACACTGCTTCAAGGAAAAAACCCTGGCCAAAGTTTTCTTCTATTAGCAGGCGTGTTCGCAACAGTCAGCTGCGAGTGGCAGAAACGTTTCCTATCCATAGGACCACCACTTCATCACTGTCAAAACCTGGGGTATATCCATCGTGAAGGTGACCTAGAAATTCTACACACTTACTAATGATGAGTTGTCACGACCCACAGTAGTGGCGGATAAACCGTTACGGAAGTTCGCTTACAGTGTCCAATAAAGCCTATTTCTCTTCGGTGCAGAGGTGGAAAAATGCAGGTGCTCGGCTCTCATCTAGTGGCCGGCTTGAAGATCTGGGCCAATAAATTTTCCGTGTCACATTGAGTCAAATTTTTTAAAAGATTTTTCCGTTCTGATCCTTCTATTATGCCATTTGATCACATTACATATTCACGCACAAATTCAAGAAGCCTGCAGCTTTCCATGATGCCATTATCAAATGAGATAAGGAAAAAGCATCAGGGTAGATGGCAACGTTCTCTGAAGCGAGTATCCTTATTTCAAAGGACTGTCTGAAGCTATAAGCACAAGTAGGTCATTAAACTTTACTGAAAACGTCAAAAGATCTCACTAGTTATGAAAAGAACAAGAAAATGTCACTTCTAAAGGGCGTTAAATTTTAGACAATATCAATTCTAACTTGATGGATTTGATTAGGTACCTTCCAGTTTGCAATCATTGCCAGATTGATAAGTTATGAACGTTTAAAAAATGGCAATTAGCGTCAAATAATTCACATATCAAGTCACCGAAGTGCATAATCTTATTAAAACCTGCTGCAATTCATAAGGCGGGCATGGATTTTCATCCCCACTACACACACAGGTTCCACTATTATTGATGAAAGCGCGTCATGTTGGAAGTTTGCTTTGAAACCAGCCGTTGTAGGTCCACTTGCAAAGTTTGTTAGTTGGTGATATGATGGTCTATTCATTGGAACGTTCTTTTGCCTCTGGCTTTGCTAACCACAAAGGGAGCATGTACACGATGTGGAGTATCCCTCAAGTATGTATGGTTATATAACCAAAATCTAGTGTCAAAATCGATGCATTCTCATTTCACCATGTCACTTTTAAATGTAATACAGCTTGATACCACTAAAAACACTTGTTTTACTGTGCGGATGTAGACGTTGAAACGGTTACTGGTTCGGGTGCCAGTAGTTATACGCGTATGTGGCGTACCAACTGGTGTCAGATTCGAGTTTTATTTTTCTCCAAGCAATACATGTATTGTTCAGGTACAGCCCTTTTTCATTCTTGTTGGAGCGGAGACAACACCTCCACCTGTTCATCTTTTCAGTTTTTGCACAGTTTTTCTCTTGTGGTGTCGCATTTTATAAACAAGTAGCACTTGTGTCTTCCAGTGACTGAATGAGATTGAGATTACCCACCGCGAAAGTACATATAGTTTATACGCAAATTTGTTCATACCAGTGAAAGTAATGTGCGCATGTATGTCATTATTATTATCATTAGTATTATGTGAAAATCTGAAAATTCAGCCAGCATTACTTCCTCGAAAATGAACTTGTTAAACTGTTTTTCCATCTTCTTGGCAAGATGCTGTCACACTTCCACTAAAGATGATTTTTGTTCCTACCGGAAGCCTTTATACCTACCAATCAACACAAAAACTCAACGTCTGACCTAACGTGCATTATTTGTACGGGGTGTAAAAGCTTTCCTTCGGCCTGGGGATTGTCACTACTTGGAATGAAGAAGAGATGGTAAACAGGGCTACCGAAGATTTTTCGCCATTGAATGTAATATTCACTTCCGCAAAAATGGCGTGCAACTGGAAATTAAGGAGCAAATATTATCATTACTATTATTTCCATCCATTTGGATATCTCAGAGTTTGTGAATTTAAGGTTGACCTGAAAATGCTGTGGACATTTCGAAGAGAAGACTCGAACCACACCTTGATTGATCGCCGCCTACCCTGACGCATACAAGCCACTCATTTTGGGCTCGCCTGCTTGGAATCAAGTTGGATCCCAAATATGATTGCAATCCGGTTTCGAAAAAGTTGTTTTAGGTTTACTGAAGAAGGCATCCAGCAGTAGACACCAGAACCATGTAACCTGCAGTCAAAGAGAGAGGAAAGCCTGAGGAAACCGGTCAAAAGAACATAAGAGTATCGGTTATGACCGAAGGAATGCAAACAGAATGCTATGAGGTCCGAAGAGCGCAACCGAGCTAGCCCTGTAACAACTGCCAGCTCATTGACGAGGCAAAAACAAGCCCCACTGTTTTTAAAGTGAATCTAACGATTAGACTAGTTATCTTAACCGCATCAGTTACTTATCTGGAGTTATACAAGGCCTGCAGGGAGTACACAAGTCAAGAGAAATTATCCTTTTCACTTGATTTGACCGGAGTAAAGCCACACTCCGTAAACTAAAGAAATCAAGGAGCGGCACATTGACCTCCAAACAACTGGAGAGCGCGAGCACTTGGTAAGAGCAGATGGAGTGACGTCAAAGGTGAACTACGTCTGAAACTTTACGATCCTCTTACAAATCACGTCCATATAGGGTCCTCACTTAACCTGACGATAAGAGGGTCTCTTCCACCAAACGCCGCCATCGCGTAAGACGCGACGGCTGAGAGAGCCAGCAGTTGAACGATCAACTTCCGGTCATGCCGTGACCTGAAAACTGGCGTTCAGTTACCGAGCATGAGCATTATTTTCTGAAATTGTGTGATTCCCGACGCTACTAGAAATGACGAACCAGCGCTACAACAACAAGTGGTATCGAAAGCCCCACAGGTGACCCACTGAGAAAGGAGTTTTGTTTGCATCACACTCGTCGCATCCAGAATTGTACTTAATTGCAAAAAGTACAGCTCACAACGGCTGTGATTTAAGGGCTCTTAACTGTTGACCAAGATACAAACATTACCCAGCTTAAGGGTCACATAAAATTGCTGACAGCCCTCTCGAGTTTCAGCCACAAAAAGAATGTGTCACTGCATGCTCACACACCATTATTTATTCGAGAAGCCAATAATCCACAACCTATGGAAGATTTCTACTTGTGTTCGCTGCCGGGGGATACTAGAAAGTAACCGCTCATGAGTGCTTAGATGTCTTAATCGATGGCTACTCAGACACCGTCGAGAGGCAAGTAGGCTCTAAAAATAAATCGAAGTGCACCATTCGTCATCGGTTTGCATGGGAGGAAGTGGGTTAAACCAGCTTGCTTTTTGTAAGAGTGACCAGGAAAGTTCAACACCCACCTACCTCAAGGCTGTCACGACTAGTGTAAACAAGATGTCCTGGAAGTTCACTTGGTGCATCCAAACGACCTTATTGTTCCTGGATGCCGGAGTTAGAAAAGAGGTGTTTGGCTCTCAGTCGTAATATTCATCAAGACTATAAATCTCTGATGTGGGATGGTATTAACATGCATGAATTATACAGTTCTGGAATCACCAATGAAGTACAATATGTAAACAATTTGTGCACATATTCCTTCATAGACTTTTCGTCAGTAACTCAAGCAAAAAGTACATACTGTTACAATGGGAATATCAGCTTCGAGCTTTAGTTTTCTCCGGGTAATACATGTAGTGTCAAGATACAAGTCTGGTTTTTTGTTAGCGCGAAGACAATACTTCCGCCTGTTTAACTTGTACATTTTCTGCGTACTTATTCTGCTGGGGTGTCTTATATGTGAACATACAGCACTTATATCTTCTAGTGACAATAGGTGGGGATTGAGATTACCTTTCATGAAGACATGTAGTTTATATAAAAACGTATTCATACCTGTAAAAATGGTGCGTGCCTGTATATTCAGGAATAAATATTATTATTATTATTAAAACAATGAAATTTGACTTCTTTCCTCTTATAGTCTGTATCCTAAGGAAATTCCTTAAGTCAGATACGGTAACTTTACCTAAAGTAGGAGCTTTCCAGAGTGCTAGGTGAACACTTCAGAGTGCATGGTCTGTACTATATTTTTAACCTCAAAAGTTTTCTAGCTAATATTCATTTATCTCTACAGCGTTTTCGCCTTCCTTACCTATCTGGCCAAACTACATTCCTGCTCGCTTCTGCTTTTTTCACAGCTAATGCATTCAAAATTCTTTTTTCAGACTCAGCAGGCTTTCACACACTCTTACAGATGTGTCTGAGAAAAATCATGAACTTCTCAAAGACTTAATTATCTTGATTACAAGTTTCATAATCTGCAAGCTGAAATGGACAGGATCACTGCAAGACGTAAATGTTAGTTAAAGAATAGGGCTCCCTTTCTTACCTTTGGAATACAAGTGAAGAGGAGGAATCAAACTTCAAACCTTTCGATGTGGGACCTGAAAAACTTTGAGTTTCCTTTTTTCTTGCTACTGATATCGAGAAGAAACCCGTGATGAGTGACATATTCAGTTTCGAACATTAAAAAGACATATTCTAATCAAATGTGTAGGGCCAGCAAGACCTCATATCCTTAGTTGTTTGAATGCACTTCAATCAGGGTTGTGGCAACTATCTCATGCTCGTGTATAATTTAACCGAATGACCTTGAGTCGTACGGTTTTGTAAGGTCTGACTTTGCGCCACATTCAATTCTGAAGGTTGTCTAGGTGTAAGTTCACTTTGATGTGCTCAGTGAGCTTTGACTCACGCTGCTTTTTCCGATCTCTCAGACTGTGCTAATGTGTCAGGGAATCATTGTTTTCCGGTGTTTATCGAAATCAACTAAGGGACTGAGGTGTACACCTCAAGGTGTGGGCATAACTATGCTATAATGTTCTCTAATAAGGGTACGATGACAATAAAATTAGCCGCTACAAGAGCAGTCGATTTTTTGGACTGGAAACAATCTGGGATCCTATTAGGATACATTAAAATACCCTCACCAATATGATCATGGTTCTACGGGGTGAATTTGAGCTCTCCGACGAATCTGTGGACTGTGAGTTACTACAAAATGATGTTTAGAATGCAAATGTCACCACCTAAGGCGTGAAACTTCAACAGATTTTTTTCAATGGCTTATGGAACTGGAAGTTTGGATGCTGCAGCATTCGAGATGGATAGTTCGTCTATGGATTATTCTCTACTGCTCTTGACCTCCCAGAATTTTTACTACACATTCAAAAAACATGCAAGCAACCGGTTTAATTGCCACAAACTGTCAGACTAACTATCTTCAGTTGATGAAGATTATGAGTGGCTGTTGTGCTGGCTCTTGAGTAGGCTTTCTTAGCCATTTCAAGATTCTCTAAAAGTTGTGTAAGTTCACACAATAAGAGGATCACCATATCTGGCTGACCATATGTTGCTCAGATTCTATTTAGATTTTGCTGAGAATCCTTCGATTTTTTCCGATGTACACCAGCTACTAAGTTAACGAAACGAACGGAAAGTTTTTGTGCGAAATATACGTCGGAAAGAGAGCTTTATGTCGGTGCGAGATGTTTAACTCTACTAGCCTAGATTTGCAAAGTTCTTGGAAAGTGTTTGAGGTACCGAAGTTGTTTGCAGGCTGTTTCTGAACACCTCGAAATGTATTGTCGCCGAGACTTCACTTTGAGGTAAACATATAAAGACGAGGAATACCGTCGTGTGAACACGCCTAATTTCTCCAAGTTGAATTTTTACTCAAGCAATTACGGAAAACTATTGAACAGTGTCTGGCTGAGGGTGTGAACGCATTACATAAACGGTCCTCATTCTTACTTTCTTCTTGGTCAATGTCTGCGAAGTATTTTCGACCGTAAACAACTCGTTTTGTAATGAGTAATGTGGATCACACAATCAGGCATATAAAGAATGAGATAATTACTAGCATAGCGTTAATTTGGAAGTTGAAATGCTATTTCCCCGAAATTAAGGAAACACTGTTGATACTTTAATGGTGTCAGACTTCAAACCGAGTATTTTGGGCACATTTCTGAATCTCTACAATTTTAGCTTAAATCCTGTTCTGTTGCAGCATTTTGAAATATATACTAGTAATTGGTAGTAAAGGTGACAAACAAAACGTTCTTTGACTGTCGAGTCAATCAACTTATGAAAGCACCACTGTGTGTTCTGCTGCTTCTAAGCTGAGGAAATTTGTGATGGCTTCGTGTTTAATCTTCACTATCTTCATAGTAATGCTCATTTTTTAGTGGCAACTTAGTAAGCAGTGTTGAAGTTCAGTGTGATTTATCTTTTACACATAAAACAGAAATGCATGAAGATAAAATATTGATGAGAAAGGAAGCAGTTAAAAGTGGTAAAAAGTTTTGCAAAAAGTAAAGTGGAATAAGACTGATGGACTTCTCCAGGACAATTAAGCTGAAGATGATGTGAATAAATCTGCTCTATTGAGATATATTTTGAGACCACCTACAGTCTCCAACCTCTGGTTTCTGCTGTCATGTGGACTTCGACTAGTATAGATTTACATACACGACTAAGACCAACAGTTAGAGATTTCATTTCTGATACCATGTTTCAGTCTGGTCACCTCTAACCATTTTCCAACCTGAACTTCATTTGGTTAACCTTGCGGTATGGTGACTAGGCATGCGTAACATATGCCTATGTCCCAGTCATCTGAGTAGATGAAGGTTCACAGCCTCATTATCTGACTTTCCTCTTCTGATCAAAATTCTACTGACTGACTTGGTGGCACCACGATACATGCCCTATGTTCCGGTGACGGTGGTTGAACACCTGAAGCCTCCTTAAGATCTCTACCTTTAACATCCATGTTTTGCAGCCATACCGTAGAACAGCGAACCGCAATCCAGTACAATCGACTCTTAACAGACAGTTGGATATCACAGCGGCTGTATAAATAGCTTTTCTTGACAAAATCCAATTGAACGTTTTGTCTCACTGCCGAGATTTCATCGGTCACTGACCTACCAGGTTTGATCCGACTTCCTATATTGGTGGATTGGTCGAGGCCCTCAATCATTTTACTCTCTATTATTAAACGAAACACTATCGAGGACCAATCCTGGATCAACAACATACATTTGGGTGGCGATAAATGCATCCCAAACTTTCTCAAGTTACCACTCAACGTGTTTAGTAAACTGCATCTTGTCATCGTCCTCATCTAACAGCACTATTTCATTTACATATTTAAGATCTACTATGGAGTCTCATCTTAAAAGACCAATCACTGTAAACTCAGACGACGAGAGAGAGACCTCTATAAATAAGCTTATAACGCAATTGAATGTCGGGCGCCAGTAAACGTGCCTGTCTTCCGGAACTTGGTGGATGGTGATCGATGTACACAAGACCAGGTCTGGAAACCTGTCTGTTTTCCTTGGGTTTTCCGTTCTTGAGCTTCATTTAGACATCTAATAAGTATAAAGCTCGGAATCTTAATCTCTGCTCATAAGATTGACTCTCCTGAGGTTGTTACATAAAAATTTATCCTGTACCTTGGAAACTGTAACACTCAGTAAGACCAATCAGAGGGGATCAGATCTAATTTACATACTCTTGGCAACACTTTATTTAGCGTGGTCAATTATCCATGATACTGTCTTTAAGTACCTTCAATATTAGTCCATCCGGCCTTGCTGTCGTTCCACCTTTCAGGTTACTAACAGCCCCAACTTCAGCAATAGTTAGAGGCCCTATCTCAATATTCCATTTAGCATCCGATTGGGTCGAGTCAAAATCCACTCATCAACCTTCCGGACAGTCGTGCAGTAGGTAATGAGCTACTTCTGTTGTGTTTGGGCTAGTGATATTACCTAGCTACCCTGACGTCGGTAGATGTAGCTGGTTTTAGGCCCGTGACTCATCGGTTGGAAGTCATTTGCTTAAACTAATGAGCCACAGCTTCACGTATCCAAACGGAAAGTTGGGTACGGAATATTAACCGGCGGCCAGTTGAACTATTGTTTGGAGTGTTCCGTCCATCGTATCAGTCGCGTCTGCGCGAATTGCAGACACATTCTTCCCCGCAATAGTCTCACTAACCATTGACCTTTTGCCGTTTCGTCAGTAAGTCCAAATAGCTGTCTCCTGTTATTTATCGCCACCGCCTTTTTCATCTCTTTAACTTTCTGTACCCACCACTTCTCGCAACCGGTGCGTGAACTAATCAGTCTAGATTTGCGTTGCTTCCATCTGCATTCTTTCTTTTTCATAAACGCCCTTATTGCTGGTCTTATGTTTGATACAGACAGATTTGACTGACAATAGGTGAAAGACAGTAGCAATCTCATTCACCACAAGCAACTAGTTAAATATAGTGAAATGATAAGGTTAGTTGTAACATGGGTGTTTGTTTAGTTATAGACTTTGACTGAAAACCGACCCAGTGGCTGAATGGTTAACGCATTCGCCGTGAAACCTGAAGGTCCTGGGTTCGATCCCTAGCCGGGTCGTGGACGCGTATTGCTGAGGTGTCCCGTACTAGGACGAAACAGCTGTCCAGTGCTCCTAGATCTTCGATAGTTCCCCAATTGATACCAGTCTATGATGAATACTACCTCTAAATTGACTTGGTTGTTAAATCGTATAAATTGTACAGTCTTAGTACATTGATGTGTTTGGGTGAAATGGTTACCGTTACCTACTTTTTACATGATCGACTTCCGTGTGGTGAACACTTTTAATATCAAGCACCATCTGTCGTTGCCAGAGGTTCAGCCATCTTGAGCAAGGTGTCTTGGAATAATGATAACTGTATTAGGTTATTATCTGTGAATGAAACTGGACTCTGAATGGAGTTCTTGAGGTGATATAAGTCGTATTTTTAAAATGTGTAAAGGTTGACCCAGTGGTAATCCTCCTGTGACTTTCTCTTATCTATTGCATGGACATTAAGATGAAATCTAGTATGCCATACAGCAAAATGGATCCTACTTTGTTTCTGTTGTCACTTGAACTGTCCTCTTAACTCTTATTATTGTCTTCACTAACACCATATCATCTAGTTTAACTTATTTACAGTAGTGTCCTTTTGTTTATTGTGAGCTTCCTAATGACTATTGGACCATTGTTTTGAGTCATATAAATGATTATGATGAAAAAGTTTCTTCTTGATTCATGAAATAAATTATCTAACACGTTTAAAAGGTTTGAGGTTAACGTTGGAAGTACTTCGTTCTTATGCGTTCGTAAACTTTATAACAAACGTTTTCTTTTACTTATCTGCACAGGTTTATATTAAGAATTTTGCTTTCTGTTTGGTCATTGAAAATTGTAAATAAAATGAACAAATGGAGAAAATGAGTCCATTAGTAGGATTATGGGAGAAATTACGCGTGAAACTAGATCGTGTTACATCAAATCAAAGATCAGCATCCGAAAATCATGAAACGCATACCGACAGAAATGTGGCTACCGAAGCAGTTATACCCATTGTCAATGATGTCACCTCAAGCCTAGTAACTGTGAACGTTTATGACATGGTAAGAAAAATGTTTGTAAATCATTTGAGTTTTTTAAATTCATATAAAGGTATACCGATTGATTCCAATCAGCTATTTAAACTCAATCAATCTAAACGACTAAACTCTTCCAACTGAATTTTATGAGCACATTGCTTATGAGTTCATCCTCAAACGAGTGAAATGATTGTTCAGAGTTTTTATTGTGTTGCATTCGTTATTTCTATCTGCAGATCAGCGTGAATGGTTTCTAAGTACTCATTTTGTTCGATAGTATATTTCTTCACGTAATATACATTAGCATTTTCCCGCAATGTTCGTTTTTAAAGCCTTAATACTAAATCATATTAAGTATAGTGGAGAACTGGATGATTTTGTATTCCGATTAGTTTTCATATGATGTTTAATAATGAAATACAGGGTGATATGTAGACTGTGACTGACTGATACTGACAAAATCAACTGAGAACCTCGCACAGGAGTGCATCGGCTTAAGTTGCCACACTCCAAAAAAGTACACAATGAACAGGTGAATAAAAACAGTGATATCAAAGTAGATAAATTTGTGTGAGAGAATAAGCAGTCTGAAGGTCAAGGTCAGTTTGAATGTTCAGGCTTAAGATGTCAAGCAGTGAATACATCTGCACCATTGTTACCGATTTTCAGCCATGTCACTAAGAGTCTTAAACCATTGATTGCTGTCATCTCGGGACCCCAGCCAGGTAGTTTACATCTCCTAACACGGCTCGGACCAGCAGTAAAAGACTCTATCGACTAGTGCCAGATCTTGGTCTGACCACCATAAACGTTCTTGATGTATAATGCAGATGACATAGCCCTGTTAGGTGAGGACACTGACAAGATGCAGAGTCTTCTAGACACATTGAGTTGAAATTTGAGAATGTTTGAGATAGGTTTCTCGCCACCCAAGTGCAAAGGCTCGGGGCGGCCAGACTGAAACACGGCGCCAATGCATGAAGTCCTTGACTGTTGGTTTGAGCCGTGTAGGGCGATGCAGGCTAGCCTGTTGGGGTCCACGGGACAAGAGGAACCGGTGGTTGGATACTAGGTGATATGGCTCAAAACCGATGTCAGTGGCGCAGATGCATACACACACTATCCTCATACCAACTGTTATACTTAATGCCATTACCTTCTCATTCTTCCTTTTTCTTTTGTGCTACTTTCTACGTCTATTTCCTCTGACCGATTTTTCTTTCTTCATCTTCCATTGTATTGCCTTGTTACTTGATTTACTGATACGGGGTGTGGCAGCTTGGACCATTACGCAGTAATGCCTGGTCCTATGTTGATCTTGATTATGATGCAGTGACAAAGACATACAACTGGAAGACTTATTCGAGTCCACTACTAAGACGAAAGTGCAGTTTGTAGTTTAAGTTGAACTAGTTAGACAAAGCATGATAGTCGTTGTCGTATATATAGGCCCACGCATAACATTGCATAATGTGTGGTAGTTAGTACTGCTGTAGAAGGAGCAGGTTATGATACATCAGAAAAGGCGGTAACTTTTGGTACAACACCTCATTCCAGATGGTTCAGATCACAATGTAAAACAGACAGTCGAAATGTGAACTGGAAAGATCTTGACAGTTATATTGAGTAGTGATTAGAATTGAGAGTGGAAGATATGAAGAAGTTTATGTTAGTAGATAGCAGCAGACAGTTGTTCAGAGTTATGAGGGAGATAGCCGAAAAGCCGACATGTCAAAATTAGCATTGATAGATACTAGTCAACTACCAATTTCCGAGTCAGAAGTTTACGAAAAGCTGTACCTAACGTTGACTAACAGTTCTGTAGGTTTCTGGTTGTCGCTCGGTTGCTTATCGCCTTGCACTCATTTCCATCCTTCAATGAATCAGAGAAGTTTCTGAGAGGCTAATTGAAATTACCATGTCATGATCCATTAAAGGTGTCTGGGCAGGGCGTTTCAGGATTACTTGTTAAACTGACTGAGGTATTACTTGGTGTGTGAGAGTGAGAAAAGTTTTCTTCTGGTTGTTCATAGACCTGCTTCAATTAGCTTCATTATGGCTTTTGTTACGCATGCCTTATCACCTGCGCTATCATGTTATCTTGTTTGTGGCGGGAGTATAATGACAAAGGTTTTAATTTAACCAGATCAAGGTATGGAAACAGTTATTAATTCCTGTGATCTTTGTCACAATCTATGTAATTCACCTAAAGTTTCTTGGTTAGAACCCATGAGACAAAAAAAATCGATGACTTTTGACTTTTGGTGATGTTGTTTGATATCAGTTTCAGAAACGAAAAAGTATTTTCAAAAATGTTACTTCATGTTTTCACATCCGATATTTTTCTCACTTACTGACGTAACATGTTTCTTTTGCTTTCAATTTTTTTACTATCACCTTTACTTTCCTTCCTTAGACTTCTCTTCATCATAATAATGCGAGTTGCTGTAGTTCGTAGCGGAACCCTTTTGTAGTAGGTCTTACTTTGTAACTGTGCATCTTATGTATAGGAATGCTGATTAGTTTAACTGCTGAACATACTATCGACGTAAACCATTGACTGATTAATCACATGCATTTTGCATAATTTAGCTAACTAACTTGCCCTCTGGTGTCGGGAACATAGATTCTCATTAAAATGATATCCAGGTTTATAATTTTAGAGCACTTGATCGATTCGAAGTTTGTTTTCATTACGAATTATAACCACGAGGGCGCTGGTTGGAATGCTGTTGTGGCCCAAATTTTCATATCGCCTTCAAGCATCACTCAGTATCAATAATACGAGTCTGCCGAATGACGGCTCAAAAAGTCACACATAAAATGATAATTGGTTGAAGAATCATAAAAAAGTCAATCTATGGCTATTTCTTCCTAGCGGGTGGCCACCAAACAGATCTAATTGTGGACTTCCAGTTGACAATCTACTGTTGACATGACTGGACTGGAATTTAGTCATCGGAATGAACGATTTACACCTTAAGAGTGTCATGGTAATACTGTTTATCGTTTTGTTTAACATAAAATTTATCAAAGTTAGGTGAGTGGAAGCATAATCCTACAATTCTGAAAGTATGATCAACAAAGCGAACTTTTTTTATCATTCATTTAAGATGGGTGTGTCAGCGAGTGAGTGTTGTATGCTATTGCTATGAGTTAATTCTTTTTTCATGAATGCGATTTATGATTGCAACCATGGAAAATGGAAAAAAAAACAGCTTAGGTCACGTGGTATGATCATATTTACCTCTAGTATCCCACGTGTTGATCTCTTTCATCACTATCGGGATTTCTCTAACCTCGTCTTAATTCGACTGATACTGCATACAAAATTATTATATACTGGTTACCTGATCATATTAAACGTTTTTATGCAGCCACTGCATACTGTTCAAATTCACTATCTGTCTCACTTAAAATTCTGCGTTTGACCTAAACATTGTTCATGAAATAACTCTATAACACTTAAGAGATGTTATTCAGGAAACGGTGAGTAAATAAATCCATGTTTGATTGTCGAATCAATCTGGTTGATCACAGTTAGTGCATTCAGGAAAACTTCTTGTATTTCTCAAGACTTATGTACTTTTTTTTCTGTTACTCCTGGCTAAGGAGTAAACAAATTCATCTCATATTGAAAGGAAACAAAGCAAAGTAATAAAATCTTTAAACTTTTATTGACGTCATTCTCACAAATTTTCTAATTTTTGCATCTCATACTTTAACTGACTACTTGCTCACTTAATGTGTAGTCTAGTTTGCTTTTCTTCTAGTTAGTCAATTGATTTTTGATTTCTTACTCAGAACTGCTGTACAGTACCAATTGTGAGGTAAATTCTTGTTCAAATTAACTAGAACTCCTCAATTTATACGGGAGGAATCGATGTTCAGCACTTATGAATAACTAATCATTTATTGTAGGGCTCCATGCATGATTTCTTCGAAGAGTAAAACTCATAAAATGAAATTGAGTCACCTTGCTTGAGATTTTAATCAGAGATCATTAGCAACAGAACATGTTGGCTATACGGATCACTAGTGAAACTGTAGCTTCTGAGAGAAGTAATTTATGCAAATTGTTGATTAGGTGGAACATAACACCAATTAGTTATCCATTACTACTTCAACAACTATTCCTCGTACTAACTTTGGCTCATTGAACTAGACTATCGGTTTACAATGAGTTCGAAACATGCATCATTTTTTAATACCTGAGCCCCTATTACATGCAGTTGTTAAACTGATGTACGCAAACCCGTAGGTATTTATGTAGCTTAACGTGTATCTGTTATTCTTAGACCGTATGTTCTGATAAGGTATCGCACACAGCCAGCCGGATAAAGTCAACGTACAACCTCACATAAAAGTGCATCGGTTCAGTTTGCCATATTTCACAGTAGTATACAAAGAACAAGTGAAATGGAAAGAGAGTGATACCAAGGTATCCAAGGGTATGTGGGAAAAAAAAGAAATGGAAAACAAGGGTTAGTCGCAACGTTCACGCTTTGGTAGACGTGATAGAGTGATTATACATTTGCTTCATTATGACCGGTTCTCAGCCATGTCACCGAGAGTTTCTAACCATTAATTTGTATGGTCTTGAGAACCGGAACCAGGTAGTCTACACGTCCCTGCGTAGCTCACACTATCAGTCAGAGACTTCATGGGCTGATGCCACATTTTCACTGGCCTCTGTTAGTCCTCTGCCAACCCATTCCTAACACCGTACATCGAGGTAGGCGGTGAATCTTCATGCAAAACACTTGTCCAAACCACCTCGGTCGATGAAGGTTCACAGCTGTTGAGTGACTTACCTATCTTGCCTAGTACCCTTCGCCTAACCTCAACACTGCTCACATAGTGATTCCACCATATATGAGCATTGATGAAAAGATACCTATAATCAAAAACTTGTTGTATTTTCATATCTTCTACTTTAAAATGTCATATCTCACAGCTGTGTGATTTAACAAGGCAGAACGACATGAAGTGTAATGTACTCGAATATCTTTCTGGCACGAGAG